GGATGTCCCCCTAGTGGCCAATCTAAAAAACTACAACAAAAATGACAAGCCACCCTCTGATTAATGAAATAAGTTAGTATCGGTTCATGGTATCGGTTAACTTTTACGAGTATGAGTACACACACATTTTACAGTATCGGCCCCGATACCCGATACCAGTATCGGTATTGGTGCATCCCTAAATAGGATATTAAAAAAAATCATAATATTTGAAGGTAAAAAATTTACCATTTTAAGAAAAACATTAGCTCAATTTGAATCTCCCCCCATTTATGAACGAGACCCAGAGACACTTGAACTTGTCCCTGACCCAGAGCGGGCACTTCACCCTTTTCTGGAACCATGGCCACAGACTTGGAGGTGCTAATTGTTATTCCCACCACTTTGCACTCAGCTGTGAATGTCTCCAGTGCGAGCGGCAGGTCACCGTTTTTGGAAAACATGCACCCTGCATACCCCATATATGCATATATAAGGGTTTTAGAGCAACAGAGCTCTCATACAGACAACATATTTTGCATATTTCAGCAATACGATGCTAAACTGCATCCTGCACAAACATCTTTGTAGATGACTTCAGACCTTTCCCCAACTGAAAACATTTTGCACATCATAAAATTAAAAAACATGAAAGCCAACAGGAAAATATGAAAGTTCAGGACTGTTGAGCAGCTAGAATTCTAAATGAGAATATAATGGGACAACATTCCTCTCCCGGCAGACCAACAGCTGGTCTCCTCAGTTCCCAGATGTTTGCAGATTGTTGTTAAAGAAGAGTGAATGCGACACCATGTTAAACACGGCCCCGCAACAACTTTCTTATACATGTTGCTGCCTTCAAATTCCAAATGACTCATTTTTTTCCCCTTGAAATTGAACATTTTCGCAGTTTAAACACTCAAAATGTTTTCACTGTTTCAAAAATGCTGGTGTTCAGAACTCTTTTTCAAAGGTGTTGAGGTCACTAATTGTTGTAAACGCTAAAGAAAAAAAAAGCCAAGCAGGTCACTAAAGTGAGAAACTGATTGGCTCGCAGAGTTGCAGTTTCCTTTTTATCACCTGAATCTGTGTTTAGAGTCTGTCCTCAACATAAGCTTGGTTTGATGACTCAGGTGGAATATTCATTTGAAGTAGTGCTGATGCACAAACATAAAAACGTCCCTCATGATCTCTACATCAGTTTAGGTACTTATTAATAACACAAGACAGTGTCAGCATGAATAACTAAAAACTCTCAAGAGAAAGTGACAAATTGCTAGAGTCAAAAAATAGCTCATGAAGAGAAACTTGGGGG